GGGGGCAGGGCAAAGGCGGCCCTGGGGGCTCTTAGCACCCCCCTGGGTTTCCGATCACTGTCAGTGGCAGGGGGCTTCTTCCTGCTTTACCTTTCGCCTCCCTGCATTGTGCCTACATATGCAAATTAACCGCCATCTTTGTTGGCAGTTAACCGCCATCTTAGTTGGCAGTTAATTTGCATATCACCCTGATTAGCCAATGAAAAGGGTAGCGGTCGTACGCCAATTACCATATTTCTTTTTTATTAGTGTAGATTATAATTCAGAGCAGAAAAGGATAAATACTATAAAAGCTATATACACAAGAAAGTATCATGGGCAGAGTACAGGAAGTAATTTCCAAAGGTCAAAATTGGGGAAGGTTGTACTGAGAAGAGAATATTTTAGCTAAATTGATTAGTATGTGGCCTTTATTCTTGAGCTGGTGATAGTCTAGAATTTTGGTGGAGGTCTATTTTGTCACTTAAGATTATACTTATCACTGGTGATTTATGACACTTCTATGAAGCTAGATATACTGCTACTTATATTAGGCAGGTTTTTTGTTTGTTTTGGCTGGAGGTGCTATAAGGCTGAGTCAAATATATTTCTCAAGGGAGATGCAATATAAATATAGTTGTACTTATAAACTTTTGTAAGTACTAACTTAAAATCTGATTTACAAATAATATGCATTTTCTCTCTCTCTCTCTCTCTCTCTCTCTCTCTCTCTCTCTCTCTCTCTGTTAATCCTTCATCCGAGGATATTTTCTCATTGATTTTTAGGGAGAGTGGAAGAGAGAGGGAAAGACAGAGAGAAACATCGATGTGAGGGAAACACATCAATTGGTTGCCTCCTGCATGAGCCCCAAGCAGGGCCCGTGCCAGGAAGAAGCCTACAACCAAGGTACGTGCCCTTGACCAGAATCAAATCCAGGACCCTTTGGTCCACAGGCTGACGCTCTATCCACTGAGCCAAACTGGCTAGGATTAATATGCATATTCTTTAGCATATCTAACCATATACCATCTTTTTAAATTTTTTATTTTATTTGTTTTAGGGGTTGAGTCCTGGCTGTTATGATACTTATAATGCAGACATAGACTGCCAGTGGATTGACATCACAGATGTAGCACCTGGAAACTACATCCTAAAGGTAGAGGCCTTTGAGAATATATAGCTGTAACTTATTTCCACTGCAATTTGATAGATCCCTTTCTCTGGATTCAAATGTTAGATAATCATGACCCTGAAAGCAATTATACATTTTCTATAACTATTTCTAAATGATCCCAGCCATGAGTTTTTATTTATATATATATATATATCAACAACAACAAATATATATATTTGTTGTTGTTGATAGTATTACAGATATCTCCCAAAATGTCTTATTTTAAAAAACTTGAGGGGAAAATATAGAACCTCTCCAGAGTTTAATAACCATTTGCCTAAAACTTCACCCTCCCTGCCTCGATGAGTTGAAGCATGGTAGCCCTATGAAAACAGGAAGAAATTAACCAGTAAACACTGCTAATAAAATCTGAAATTCACATGATGTTTGTGTTGCCTAGGTCAGTGTGAACCCCAGCTACTTGGTGCATGAATCGGACTATTCCAACAATGTCGTGCGCTGTGACATTCGCTACACAGGACATCATGCGTATGCCTCGGGCTGCACAATTTCCCCGTGAGTCTGCCTTCCCTAACTAAGTGATACTCTTTCCCAAGCATTTTAGCTCATCAACAGGCATTAAACAAATGGTATTTGTTTCTATCATTAGTATAGCCTCCTTGCAAACTAGACCGAAGGTAGAAAATGGTCTGCACTATCACATAGTTGGAGCTGATCTTTTTTTGGCAATGCTAGAGAAAGAAGGGTGTACTCAGCTTTTTAGCATCTTAAAACTTAGTTCTGAAGCACACACCCACACACAGAGAACACACTGTTTCCCCAGAAAGCATGTGTGGAGGCCAAATATGTGAAATATGCAATACACAGTGTGGGTGACCTTGTGGGAGCCCAAACGGTTGGGTTTCCTGCTGCTGCCAGAGTCCATGACGGAGTTCTGGAGAAATTCCTAGAGTTCCTCAAAGTACATTCTGAAAACTCACTGCCTTAAAGAATGCAGCTGAAGGGATCAGACTGCCTGCTCTGTAAAAATCAAGAGTTCACATATCTGAGTTCTAGAACAAATACTAGGGAAATATTCCACAAGAGAAGGGATGTGTGGAGGTACCTTCATCATTTTCTTAGTCCTGAATGACATCTTAGATAGAATCCCAGCACATTAATATTAACAGGAGTGGTGTGTTGATGACAGTACTTAGCGAAAGCTGGGCAGGTTTCCTGCTTGTCTGCCCATCTCAGATCCCTAATGCAGTGGTTCTCAACCTTCCTAATGCCGCAACCCTTTAATACAGTCCCTCTTGTTGTGGTGACCCCCAACCATAAAATTATTTTCGTTGCTACTTCATAACTGTAATGTTGCTACTGTTATGAATCGTAATGTAAATATCTGATCTGCAGGATGTATTTTCATTGTTACAAATTGAACATAATTAAAGCACAGTGATTAATCACAAAAACAATATGTAATTATAATTGTGTTTTCTGATGGTCTTAGGCAACCCCTGTGAAAGGGTTGTTCGACCCCCAAAGGGGTCGAGACCCACAGGTTGGCGACCCACAAGTTGAGAACCACTGCCCTAATGCCTTAAGCACTGCCTGCTTTAGTGTTGCTGAGTTAGAGAGTCTAACTACACATGCCACCTGTGAGCGGCACCTTCTGAACAATGAGCACGCCATGAGAGTGATACTGATAACGCATCAGCTTTGCTTTGACGCTGGAGAGGCACCAGTGCCTCTGGGTCACACAGAAAGGTGTAGCAGGTACACTAGAAACTCACAATTAATAGTAATTTCTCCCTGATGTACCAACCAGGACAGTGGTTCACCACACATGCACCTGTAGTTGTAGGTTTCCCCAAGACCACCTAAACCGGTTGTGCAGGTTCTGCCTTAGACCTGGGCTCCTGTCCCATGCTCCACTCACAGAGCCACCTCCTGTGGCTTGGGCTGCATTCACCGTACAGGGGCGCCTTTTCCTCATTCCCATGAATGAGCAAAGGCTGTCCTTTACAAGTGTCATCACGTGCCACTTTCCATCACATGCCATTGAAGGTCAATGAAACTTGTAACTGCAAAGGGACAGCACTGAAAAAATGATGATTAAACATATTCTTCTGAACATGCCCACAACACAGGAAACCTGGATGGGTTTATGACCCATATAGTACAGAGTGATCACAGTGTAACTGCAAATCCCCAGAACAGCAATGGAATTTGAGCTAAAATAAATGGGTTATCTTAATTTTTATAATTCCTTCATTCTCTAATCCTTGGTACTCTCACACGTGCATTATGTATTTATTGAGGTCCTATACTGGGTATTAGAGATCAATGCAAGGATAAATAAGATTCCTGACCCTGTATAGCAATAATTCCAATTAATTACTTGTGAATCTTTGTTCAATGTTTGTCTCTTATCCTACTGTCATAGCCGGGACCTCGCTTCTTGTCTACTATAAACCCAATACCAGGTATAGGTCTGCCAACATGTAGCCTCTTAGTCAATATTTGATTAATAGATAATTACCCTCTCTTTAGGGAATTGAGAGGGTGAGTTTAGGGAACTTATATGCATATATGCATAGCCAATGGACACGGGCAATAGTATGGAGAAGACCTGGAAAGGTAGGTGCGGAGAGAAGGGGGTCAATGGGAAAAAGGGAGGAGGGACATCTGTAATAATATCAACAATAAAGATAAATTTTTTAAAAAAAGAGCATGCTGGGAGGAGTCAACATCACTGACACTTACATGGCAGGAAGAAATTGCAGGATATGTTTGGAAAAGCAAGTGTTCTGGTTTGGCTAAAACATGTTTCATGGAGTGAAGAGTTAGGTAAAAAGGGTGGAGCAGTAAAATGGGACCAGATCAAAGAGAGCACTGAAGAGCAAGACAGAAAGTTAGAACTTCATTTTGGAGGCCATGCAGAGTCTTTACGGTTCTTGGGCAGGGAGCATAGGTAACCTAAAGTTATGTGGTCAGTCTGGTGACTGTAAGTAGCAGTGGGTGTGATTCCCTTGGTAGCATTATTGTACTTTTTTAACTCTTAAAGACATATTACCTCTCAGTTTACTGATGTTTTTCACATGAATGAAATATTTGAGAGCATTCACTGGTGGGAACAAAGCACCCCGTTAGAAAGTGTGTGCCTTTAATGTATCCTCTTCTCCCTCATTTTCCTTATTGTATACAAAACATAGACCAAGTGACTTTGTGGTCCAGTTCAGTTCTATGATGCTACAATTAAGTTCTCTTCTCACAGACATTACTGTTGGGAAATTTATGGTTTATGATTTGGACTAAGTGCATTCTTATTTCCTTTACATGGGGAATCTGTGATCATAATGTCAACACACTAATATTGATGTATTGGCTTTGATCCAGTGTCTTGCACATTAATGCCTCACTACACATCCATAATCATGCTGGGAAAGGACTAATGCAGGACAGTGAGAGGCCATGGCCCTGCTTCCTGGTGCACATGCCACACCTGCTCCATGGAGTGAACTCACCCAGGCAGAGCTGCTGTTCTGATGAGTCCTGCTTTACTTTTGGTTGTTTCAGTAGATATTTTTTTAATCATAAATATCAGGCATATACTTTCTGCTGCTGACATAGTTACTTTCTTTAAATCAGTGTTAAAATCAAGTGTTGGCCCTGGCTGCATTATCCTGATATCCCAATGTTGCAGGTTCGATCCCCTGTCAGGGAAATATAAGAATTAACTAATGAATGCATAAATAAGTGGAAAAAGAAATTTATATTTTTCTCTCTCTCTCTCTCAAATAAAAAAATATTTTTTCTCAATCAAGTATTGATGGATAATTTCATAAGGTAACTGCTGCTTAGGTGGAGGAAAAATGATATCTCAATTTTTTAAAAGGTTGACTTCAAACTTGTCTACTGTATTCATTCATAATATTATCAGGTTAATAACTTATCTTTTGTTTTTTAATATAGGTATTAAAAAGCAAGCCAAGACTCCCAATGGATAAATCAGTGCCTGGTGTTCTGAAGTGGGAAAAATAGATTAACTTCAGTAGGATTTATGTATTTTGAAAAAGAGAACAGAAAACAACAAATTAATTTTTGTTTGGACTTTTTTATAACTAAGCACATAACTGGATTTTGAACATTTAAATTGGCATTGTTTGGAAAAATTGTAATATTATTATCCACATTATTTTGTGAATTAACATGTTTCAATTCTGTAGTTGCACCCTTGGCTCTTTCGAAGAAATCCAAATTTATGCTCTTTTTGAAATTATAATACAGAAGAGAAAGTAATATTGCAATGAATGAGCCAAAATTACTTTGAACTGGGAATTTTCTAAAGTGCTGTAACTTCAGTGAACTACGGTAATCATTGGCTTATATATGTCCTGGCTCCTACTGTTTAAATTGGTATGGACACATTTGGTGCTGAGAAAGAAACAAATGTATTACCATTGGTCTCAAAAAATATTACTATATAGCAGAGAAATGGCAGTATATGTATTCAGATAGTTACATCCCTATATAAAATTTATGTTTACATTTTTTAATTAGTAGATAAACTTTCTTTCTGTCAAGTGTACAATTTCATTCTGACATACGTCAGTTTTTATTTTGGGACAAATTAAGTAATTGAGCTGCCCAACTCTCCCTGACGTTTGTTGATGCTCCACTCTACTCTTTAATTTTCCTATGGGCAGAGACCTTTTAAGTGGCATCTTAAAATTACCCTTCTGGGGACTGGTATACATAGGACAACTGTGTCAGTGGGAAGTTATTCTGATGACAAACGTGATATATCCAAAGATAATGCACAATTAAGTATATTGAGGTACTAGCCAAATTTTTTTTCTTACAGACATAAAATAAAAAGCAAAATGAACAAGTCCCTCAAACTACAACTGTCTCTCAAATAATTTTTAAAAAGTAATGAAAACCATCTTAGAATTTTCCAATTTTCTACATTTAAAAAAACGTTCAGCTTTAAAAAGAGGAATGCTAGACAGTTTTAAGTTATCCAGAATAGATGACATAATGTGTGTGGGTACAGGAACCATATCCTATGTCATCCAGGAATCAGTCGTGTGTGTGTGTGTGTGTGTGTGTGTGTGCACGTGTGTGTGTCTGAAATATAATCCAGATTAGCAAAGCACACAGCATTATGTACTTGAGGGGTTGGTGAGTAAAGGTAAAAAAAAATACTTTCGGCAAAACCAAAGGCTGTGCTGCATAATGAGACAGCTGTGCTTTTATTTTAAACTGTGAAATCATGTGCTACAACAGAATTGGGAGACTTCCTCTTTTTCTTAGATTCAAAAGGTGCAGAAAGAAGTCAAATTACACTTTTAAGTTAGTGGTGCTTAAGCAGAAGTTATTCTATATTAACCAGTATTAAAATCTCAAGCAAGGTACTTCAAGTGCCAGGACACACAGGTAGAATTTAAAAATGAGTTGGCCTCCGTGTATTACATGCCACGGAGTTGTAAAGTCAACACCATTCAGCATTCACTCAGTGCCTAGAGCGGTGAGAGGTGATAGAGATGGACAGTCATTGAGGGGTGGATAATGGAGGGCCACAGATCTACATTTGCCAGGGCACACTTCCCAACAGAGAACACAGACAGCTTAGTAGAGATCAGAGCTTTCACTGAGCTAGTATCTGAGCTATGGGATAGCTTCTTTGATGTACCTCTTTGCCTTAAATTGCTTTTTAGTTATAAGATTGCAGAAAGATACTTTCTTTTAGATTATAATATTTTCAAATATTTTAACATACTTACTTTTTAGAAAAACGAAAAACTACTGTCAGTATTAATACTGAGCCAGACTGGCATCTACAGATTTAAGATCTATTAGTACAAGATTCTTACCCCTGTATTAAAAGCTAGCCAATACCATGGCCTTTGGATACACGAGATGATACATTTACTATCATTCATTAGGCCCTCCATCTGTCTGTCCATCCATCATCATTTGAGGGCCTAATATATGCCAGGCACTGACATGCTAGGCATTAGGATGTAAAAAAGATTTTCTCTAACCTCAATTAAGTATTAAAAATGTCATTATTATCCTTTAGGTTCACTTTATTTCATTTTTAACAATTATAAGTACATGTCTAAAAATTTTTATTTTAAGCTCTATTGTTTTTCATGACCATATTTTATTTTAAAAATAAGTTAAAAATTAATAGTTATATGCATGTATGTGTTACTAATAATTAAAAATATGTTTCCAATCCCTGAACTGTCTGCCTTTTAAGTATAAAATGTACTATTTGATTGATTTGGGGGGGAAAAAAGTTTCAATTAGGAAGTAAAGATTCTTACTTAATCCTTATGCATTCTTCCCTCTCAGTCATTCTTCAACACTCCCTTAACACTCAATAGTTTTGAACCTCAAGGGATCTCTTCTTTGAATAACCACAAAAACTCATAGAAAATGACTAGCTGGTAAAAGTTATCCATTAATAAAATAAACAATCCAGCTTTACAAACCCTAAATTAAAAAAATTAAATAGAAAGTAGAAATAATACAAAGAATGTTGAGTAGTGAAAAGAGACTGGCTTTTAAACTAATAAAGACTGTGAAAAAATGGGCTAAACAGGGAAATAATTTAATGAGTCTTCCACACACCATATTAATGGCCTCATAATTATTCAGACCACAGTCTGGACTAAAGATGTCTTGACTTTTGGGGTGAGGATTCAGTTTCCCAGCAGTACCGGAATCTATAACTTGCCTATTTCTAGGAAATCTTTACACTTTTACATAATAAATTTATTCACAATTTCAGTCACTAGGCATTATTTGTAATAATGAACAATAATTGTTTTTTATTTGAAACCTCATAGAATAATCACATTTAAACATTCCAAATATTCAGATTTCAGAGGACATGCCATGCATTAAAATGATCATGGCACTGAGAAATCACCGTTAGCAAACTGTGTGAAATATACAATTTCTGGTCAGAAGATGTCTTATTTTAAAAATAGCTTTTTTGACACTAACAGTATAGTAACTGATAAGTAAAAAGTTACCCCTTTTATACATTTTTTTAATATTTAGAATCCATATTCACAAATAATACATTCAAACAACAGCTATATTTCATTTTCAGCTACCAAAAGTCCTGGGCCACTTTTAAACACTTCAAGCATTTCATTTATCTTTTAAACTAAAATGGTGCTGAATTATTTCAACTTGAATGTAAAAATATGTTATCTTAGTTCACAGGATATAAACATTTAATTAATATATAATTGCTTGCTACTAACTACATGTCATTTGATATTGTAATACTTTCAATGAAATTTTAGTTTCTTCCAAAATTTCCAGGAATCCTATTTGTAAAACACCTGTAAGTTTTTTGAGGAGCTCTTAATTTACATGCCCTGACACTGGCTTTATAGTCTTTTTTACACTCTCACATTCTTTCATTGTATGCTCTACTACGAGTGCAAAAATGCCTTGAATAAATGATTTCAAGTATCCATACTGGTCATTTGTTGTTACATATAAATAAATGATATGAACTTCATTTTAGGTTAAAATCTAAAAGCCCATGTATATGGTTTGTGGTTTTGCTTAGTTGCCTTTTGTATTAACAAACTGTTTAATAAGCTCACATGACTTGAAATTTGTCTATGATGGATAAAAAGAAATCTAATTGATGTTTTAAAAAAGAAACTATCATATATGAATGGATCCTAACTTTTGTCACCATTACCAGTCACTTCAAGGACACAGAGCAGGCATTGAGAGAACGACCACATTCTGTTTTAATTGGGATTTATAAGAAATATGCATAAGCATACATACACTCAGGGGACACATTCAACTAAAGCTACAAGCTAGCCATAAAAAGAGAAACATTGCTATCATAGAAATCCTTATTTAAATGTTTACCAGATTAGCCTGGAAGCTGATAACCTGAGAAAACAACCTGCCCCAAACTGTGGACAAATGTTTTTTGGGGGGGAGGGAAATTCACAAAATTAACCCAAAAAACAATTCACCTTTAAAGAGCTCTTACAGGTAAAACAGATGTAGGCTTGTGGTTGGCAGTTTGGAGATTTAAGTTGTAGAATATTTGGTGATACTCTGAACGAACAATTTTCTGCTTCCCTAGCCTGCTCAAGGTAAAGTATCTGAATACACTTTCCTTATTAATGCAAAAGATAATTTTCTTTGTCCCATCAATGTTCAGTATTTCTCACACTGTTCAATATTAGCTCATTAACCAAGATGGAGAGGGCAGATCATTCCCTTTTGTCAGAAAACTTGACTGCCTTATGCTACTCATGCTATCTAATAAAACAGAAACATGGTAATTGGCGTACGACCGCTACCCTTCCCATTGGCTAATCAGCGAGATATGCAAATTAACTGACAGCCAAGATGGCCGCCGGCAGCCAGGCAGCTTGAAACTAACATGAGGCTTGCTTGCTTCAGTGATGGAGGACTCCAAAGTTCCCTGCCTGCACTTGCCTGCCTCTCAGCCTGCAACTCTAAGCAACTATGTTGCGAATAAAGAAGCTAAAAATACCCCAGAAACCTGCTTTACTCAGTGGAGCTTCAGCCAGCCGGACTGCAACATGGTATCAAATACAGAAGGTAAACAAAGGCCAGAAACCTGTTTTCAGCAGCCGAGCCTCAGAGCTAAAGCTGACCCAGAATAAAAAAGAAAAAAAAAGAAAAAAAGGAGCGGTTGGGAGCTT